TGTAAGCCACTGTGAAAGAACAATAGCCAAACTTCCATCATCATCTGCTTCTGTACAAAATTCTACTCCTACGAATGCCATCTATGTATCAACAATTATAAAGACTGCATTTTACAATATTAATTAAATTTTTTTTAATGAGTTATAAATGTAGATATTGTAAAGCATTTATAATCTCTGTTTCACAATATAACCTCACATGTTTAATTCATACGTATATCTATACAAAATAATACAAAAATATATTTTTATTTTACCTTATTGATGTTGAAATACACTTTACTAATGTACAAACTTAAACTTTAGCACAATTTAAACTTCTGCTCTCTTACTTAAATTTACTAAAAAATAACTTCAAGCACATGATACATGTGGTTTCTGCCTGCACGGGATACGGAAAACGGAAACGCTTGCCGCTTGCAGCGCTGCAAGAAGTGACGCGGTAGCTAATAAATCATGTCCTTATTAAAAGCTTTTATCAAAAAGCGGTATGTTGATTAGTTACCGTGTTATTCTTGCCGCGCAGCACCAAGGTAGCAAAATTAGTTTTGACGTCAATTTTACATCAAATTACGTAAAAATGACTATAATTTATAGTTTTTTGTTAATTGTTTTTATAGTTTATAATAGCTTATAATAACTTAGAAATTAAAATTATCATCAAAATATATAACGCGCGAACAATGCCATGTCATTATTTGGGCATACAAAATACATTTATATATTCGACATTAATGTTATGTCTTTTCGATGTAACAGTAATGACGTACTATTTTAAAATCACGTCAAAATAACGTACCATTTAAGTCACATGACGTTATCGTGATCAAAATTACGTATTTTTCACGTCATTTTGACGTTGTCTTGTTAGCTGGGAAGCAACAAGATACTCCGTGTATATTTACGCGAGTCAGATAGTTGGAGATTATTCGAAATTATCATATTGAAATAATCGCTGAACGGATCGAGTTCTTACTAGGCTTAATTGATAGCTTGAGCTTGATTTATATCAGAAAAGTGTCTTTATTTTTGCTCTACGTGCATCGTGAACAGCAATATTATGATCCAAAGTCGAAATATGAAAAATTTTCATTAAGAAACGTCTCCTTGGTCAACGCTCAAGTCCCCAATGCGCAAGCGTACAAAGTTGTACGTTTGACGCATTCGACGTAAGATTGCGCTAGCGGCGTTCCGTGATGTTAAGACTACTATATATACAGGGTTCTAGACCACCCGTACAGCCCTTTTCTTTCAAAAACTAAGCATTTTAAAGAAAAACGTTTTCGATAAAAATTGTATGGTTTTGAGGGTTAATCGTTAAAGTCAATTGTTCCGAAGAAAAAATATGTAATTTGCAATTAACAATTACATATTTTTTCTTAAAAACAACTGTGTGGTTTTTTTACACTAATTGATTCCTCTCATTATTTTGTACATAAAAGTATTAAGGTAAGATAATCAAAAAATAAATATTTTATAGTTTATGTAAAATTAAGATATTATTTTAAGCCCTATAAATCGAAAAGTACTCAATGAAAAAATACTTTATTATAGTATTTTGGAAAGCTCTCGACATAAGCTATAAGAATATGCAATAAAAAGTTGGTAGTTCCATTTAAGAAATTAAAGGTGTCCTTGACCTGACCTTAACTATGCCATCCAAGGTCAAACCAATGACATCATCTTATGTTCCCCTTAAAACTATACAATTTTTCTTGAAAACGTTTTTCTCTAAAATGCTTAGTTTTTGAAAGAAAAGGGGTGTACGGTTTCTAATGACATATAGATTTGTAGTTATTTTTGCAATAAGAATAGCAAAGAAGTTTGAAGGATCTGAATATCTATATAGTAAGCAAAGAGGACCGTCTAATTTTAATGAAATATGACGGGGGTGATGGCGGATTCTTTGCTTATTTATTTAAAAATGTTTAACATATAGTACAAAAAAGAGTGATATCCCTAAAAAATTATCCTTTTACAAAAAAGATAAAAAAAGGTGCTAAGTCCGCGTAAAAATAGTATATATATTTGCAAAATAGTGTATTATTAACTGTAAAAAACTACTGTATTGTATATCCTACAAAAATAATGATATCAAAAAAATTGCGCTAAGGGAAAATAAAAACTTTTAAAAATACTTTAACCAAAAAAAGTTATACAAAATAGTTGTTTTAATTTTCTACATTATATCCTAGAAAAATAATGATATCCAAAAATTACGCTAATTGAAAATAAAAACTTAAAATATTTTAACTAAAAAAAATTGTACAAAATAATTGTTTTAATTTCCTACAAATAATATTAAAAAGTTGCACCAACTGAATAAAAATTTTTACTATAAAATAGACATATTTCTTTTTTATTTTCAATATTAAAAGAAAAATGATATTAAATGAATTGTAATATATCTATTATAAAAAATCGTTGAAAATATGAACAATCATATACATTGCAATAATCATGTGCATATATCCTGAAAAGTTTAATTAAAAAAAAAAAGAAAATGATAATACAAAATACAAAATTAAAAATTAGAAATTAATAAATAAAAAATAAAAATTTATATAAAAATTAAAAATTAATACATATAAAAAAATTTTAGTTAAAAAACTTAGCGCTGCTACGCTGAACAATGTGTTAATGAAATTAGCAGCGCTAAATTTCTTTTAATATTGAAAATAAAAAAGAAATATGTCTATTTTATAGTAAAAATTTTTATTTAGTTGGCGCAACTTTTTAATATTATATGTAGGAAATTAAAACAATTATTTTGTAGAATTTTTTTTAGTTAAAATATTTTAAGTTTTTATTTTCAATTAGCGTAATTTTTGAATATCATTATTTTTCTAGGATATAATATAGAAATTTAAAACAACTATTTTGTATAACTTTTTTTGGTTAAAGTATTTTTATAAGTTTTTATTTTCACTTAGCGCAATTTTTTTGATATCATTATTTTTGTAGGATATACAATACAGTAGTTTTTTACAATTAATAATACACTATTTTGCAAATACATATACTGTTTTTTACGCGGACTTAGCACCTTTTTTTACCTTTTTTTAAAATGGTAATTTTATAGGGATGATAAATAACAGAAGAGATATGTCGATTTAACATATGGAAACTATTATAGAGAGAAAAATAACACAATTTTATTTATCTGTTCATTTTAATATATAACATATTTCATCAAAAATTCGTACATTTACATATTAATTGTGTTGTTTTAACTCTTAGAAATGGTGAATATTAACTCAATGCAGAAATGTCAAAATAACGCAACGATAATATGTCATATTAACATAAGAGTATGTTAAAAATTTAACACAAAAATTTTTACACGAGAAAATTTTAACAGAAATACAAAATGTATTTTACCGTGAGGATTTTAAGGATTTTGCACCGAATTAACATATGTTCTTATGAGAAATGTATAATCATCGTCGATTCAAATGACAAAACACATAGATATAATATTCAGAATTTGTTTAAAATTTGCAAAAGTTTAGATACAGAGGAAATATTTGGTCGAATAATATTATACAAGTACTAATTGGTTAAAAAGATATTAAATATAGTTCAATAAAGTTAATCATGTATCTGTCATGTTTGCAACATATATATTTTTAGTCACGTTTGCAACAATCGGTTAAAGCTTTAATCGATAGATGTGACTAATTTATAAACAGTAAAGTGAGTCAAATGATATATAAATATACACATAAGCAAAGTCGCAGACATTTTTGTTATGATAGAAAACTATGTTAAATTTTTGACAAGTTGTTTACAATATTTAAATAAATTTCCGGTAAACGTTCAGTATCCGTTTGCAAATTTAAACCATTTTTTTGCCTTTTTATATATAGCATTTCAGAAATCAATCTTTAACTCAAAAATTCCCGATCTAAAATCTATACATCTTCCCAATTAAAGGCATGATCTTCTGATTTCTTTAATTTTTATTCATGATTTTTATCTAATAATTTCTTTAATTTTTATTTCTTTTTGACTCTATGTTCAGTTTATATTAATTTAAAAATATTTTTAAAAAATTTTTTTAAATTGGACATTATTTATTTCCATTATGTTTATATTAGTTTATATTATCCATTTATCTTGTTCCATTTTTTTACATAGGCATCGTCAAGATAATGAGATACCGAGACATTTAGTATTACTTTGGACGGCATCCTATCTCATTGATCCAGATATATAACACCACACATTGTTATATTTTTATCACATCATAACATTTGCGCTGAAGATGACCCAAAAATAGGGTCAAAACGTCTATCTCTTTTTTATTTTCATTCTTATTTTTATTTATATCATGCTTTTTTATTGTATAATAAATAAATAAATGTGTCATAACATCGACACTCGACTCGTACTGCTATTGAAACTAATTTGATAGTTCATTTATACAACTGCATACTTTTGTAATCATCAATATAATTTAAATATATAGTAAAACATTAAATATAAAGATAAAATATAAATACTTATTCTGAATGATGTAAAAATTCATACATGATAACTGTTATAAATTCAAAAATAATTATATTATTACATTTATATATTTACAACTAATGATAGAGGATATTACTTGCGTTTCCTCCTTCACTTATAAATTTTACAATCAGTTTATAATTATTGGTTATATATAATGTCGAAAATTAATGTTGTATTTCCATGTTGAAAAAAATATTGTTTATACATATATAATCGCAATTATTAGATTTCGCTTCCATTACTCAAAAAACACAAATTAAATATTATTATATTACGTTGTTTACAATTATAAAAACGAATGAGATAGTTTTTAATAATCAAAATTTTATGGAAGATAAGATTAAAAAATTTCTTTTATCTTTATTGATAAATCTAATATTAAGATTAAACCTGAACATAACAAAATCAATTTAGAAATATTCTAGAAATATTTTTTCTACAATAAGATTTATTGAATCGTTTGGAAAATAAGATAAATATTAATTTAATTATTTCTAAATAGTATCGACTGGACTCAGTAAGGCATCTTCCATGTTCTTTCTTAATGCTATAATATTTTCCAGACAAAATTTAAAATTTGGTCTAGCATCCGCTGCAGTCCAGCAACGTAGCATCAACTGGTACAATGATGACGGACAGTTAAGAGTAATCGGCAACCTGCCTCCAGCACGTACATGATATATCACTTCTTTATCATTCTTGTCCATATAAGGTTTCTCATCCAACGATGTAATTTCCCACATTAATACCCCAAATGACCAAACATCGCTTTGAGAAGTAAATATTTCAATCATCAAAGATTCGGGTGCCATCCAGCGAATAGGAAACCAATGTTCTCCTTTCTAAAACATGATTTAAACAAAAATTTAATGTTCTGATTCAAGTTGTTCATTTTTAGAATATGTGCAAAATGAAAAAAACGTTAATTTATCTCTTGCTTTATATAAATAAAAATTATTTATATTCTATATTACTTAAAGAAACAATGCACGATACTATTATGATAAAAAAATGGAAAGTATTTTCAAAAGAATTAATTTTTTAATCATTAACTTTTTTTCAAATTTTTTATAACTGTATACCATGCGATAATAATTATCCTTGTAGATATCTCTAGCTAATCCAAAATCTCCAATTTTTATGACACGATTCTCTCGATTTCTCGAAGATACTAAACAATTGCAACACGCTAGATCTCTATGTACGAAACGCAACTTTTCCAAGTAGCAACAACCTCGCGCAACATCTTCGCACATGGCGAGCAAATCCTGCAAACACAGAGCAGGCGAATCTGACGCTTCCAAATTTCGACAATCTCTCAAATATTTTAACAGATTACCAGTTTCCATCAATTCCAACACTAGTAAAGGAGAATCCCCATCTAAACAAACGGCTAACAATCTTAATACATGTTTGTGTCGAAAATGATTCATAAGCCTGGCTTCCTTTAACAAATTCTTTTTCTCATGGGAAGAAGCATCTTTCCGAAGCGTTTTTATTGCAACGGATATCTGTGTGCCCGACCTTTCTAAGTTTTTCACCTTTCCTTGAAACACCTGCGAAATATTTCACACAAATTTACATACGTACTTTATTAGAAAATGTATATAGTTTAATGTCAAGTAATATTATATTTTACTTTATATTAAATAATTAAAAAATGTATAATAAAGTGCATGTTTGTTGTCTCATCTAAATTTTATATTTCATATAATCTATTATAAAAATTTATGTAATTTATATTTTTATAAGAAAATACAAATCTGTTTTGTTGATCCAGAAATTCATTTGAAACACTGCTTGCGAAAAAATTAATTTTTACCATTCCGAATGCGCCGCTACCAATAAGTTTTGTAAATGTAATTTGTTTACGTGCGATTTTAGTTATCGCACATTCATCTGGATTACAATGTAACATAGAACTGTAAATCGTATTGAATTCAGTGTATTGGCAAGGTTCATGTAGAATAGCCAATTCCATATCGGTCATTGATAAAGACAAAAATTGTTCGTTATTAGCTCTGTGTTGACGATACACTGTTATAAAATTTCGACTTAATTATGTAATAATATGTATTATAAAATCTACTGTTTTTTAGTAAATTTATTCGTTTAGTTTTATATAAGTAAATTATTATTTTTAATAAATGTTTAGATATTATATCAGATATATATATATACAGGGTGACCCATTTTAACTTAGGCAGCCAAATAACTCGAAAAATAAGCACACTACGAAAAAATGGTTACAATCAAAATTTCGTCATTTCGAGGGGAACGTACAATGACGTTAAAATCAGCCCCCCCCACCCCTCCCCCTGGGCGGTGAGGGGGGGCAAGTTTGAAATCTTAAATGGAACCCCCTATTTTTCATTGCATATTCTTGTAGCTTATCTCGAGAGCTTTCCAAAACACTATAATTAAGTACCTTTTTATTAAGTACTTTTTGAGTTATAAGGCTTAAAATAATTTCTTAATTTTACATAAACCATAAAATATCTAGTAAACCATTCATTTTTCGATTATCTTACCTTCATACTTTTATGTACAAAATAATGAGAGGAATCAATTGGTGTAAAGAAAACATATAGTTGTTTTTAAGAAAAAATATGGAATTGTTAATTGCAAATTACATATTTTTTCTTAGGACAACTATGTGTTTTCTTTACACCAATTGATTCCTTCATTATTTGTACTTAAAAGTATGAAGGTAAGATAATCGAAAAATGAATGGTTTACTAGATATTTTATGGTTTATGTAAAATTAAGAAATTATTTCAAGCCTTATAACTCAAAAAAGTACTTAATAAAAAGGTACTTAATTATAGTGTTTTGGAAAGCTCTCGAGATAAGCTACAAGAATATGCAATGAAAAATAGGGGGTTCCATTTAAGATTCAAACTTGCCCCCCCTCACCGCCCAGGGGGAGGGGTGGGGGGCTGATTTTAACGTCATTGTACGTCCCCCTCGAAATGACGAAATTTTGATTCTAACCATTTTTTCGTAGTGTGCTTATTTTTCGAGTTATTTGGCTGCCTAAGTAAAATGGGTCACCCTGTATATATATATATATATATATATATATATATATATATATATATATATATACAGGGTCTACCAAAAGTGTGGAAACCCCTAAATATCTCGGAAAATATACGTTTTACAGAAAAGTGTTTCCAACAAAAGTTGTAGGGTTTAAGAAGATCTATATACTGATTCTATCAGTTTTGACCTTGGATGGCGTCGTCAAGGTCAGGTCAAGGTCACATTGACTTTTTTAAATGACACCCCCTACATTTGATTGCATATTCTTATAGCTTAATTCAAGAGCTTTCCAAAACACTATAATAATGTTCATTTTTATTAAGTACTTTGCGAGTTATGAGGGTTGAATGATAGAGTAGCGCCGGTATTAACATTATCCAAGGTGTACTACATGGAGGTTACTCGCTCGGATTTGCATCTGTTGTGTGTGTGATCCAGCTAACTAAGGCAAGATCGATTCCTCAACATATCCTCATATTTCGCTGAAGTCAAATTGCCAAAAAATTGCTCCATAAAACGTGTATGAAACGTCTCGTTAGTTCCTTCATTTACCGCTATGTGACGCACTACATGCAGTCTAACTCGCATTTAAAATTCAACTAAGAATGTATAAAGCTATCAAAGAACGAGCACCTTCTAACTTCAGCTTTGAGTAAGCAGAAATTAATGTTATCGTCCAAATACAACGTACGATTAATTAAAATTAAACGTTTTAAAAATGGCTGGCGACTTGTCGGAACGTGAAAGAATCACTATCCTCATGATGCGTGGATGGGGTGATAACGAAAGATCGTTCTCTGATGTCGTTCGATTATTTAATGACACGTATCCGAACCGTCGAATTAATAAGTCCACTGTGTTAAAAACAATAGAACGTTTTAGACAAACTGGTAGCGTAAGAAATCGCTCTAAGTCAGGAAGACCATTGTCTGCAACCAACGAAGAAAAACAACTTGATGTTCTGCAGACATTTATTGAAGATCCCAATTCTAGTGTTCAGAGAGTCGCTCAAACTCACGATATTGCTCCCATGTCGGTTTTGGAGAATTTTAAAGAAGAACAAGTTCCATCCATATAAATTGCAATACGTTCAAGAATTGCAAAACGGAGATGAGGAGCGTCGTATACATTTCTGTGAAAGAATGATGGCACTAATAGATGTCCGGCCCATCTTCCCTTATCAAATTGTTTTCACAGACGAGGCAACTTTTACCTTAACGGGAGAAGTTAATAATCAAAATTTTCGTTTCTGGTCAGATGAGAATCCGAATTGGGTGCGGGAAACTCACACACAACATCCACAAAAAATAAATGTATGGTGCGGAATAATAGATGGCTATTTAATAGGGCCGTTTTTTTTGAAGAATATTTGAACGCTCAAAGGTATGAGAGATTACTTGTTGATCAAATAATTCCAGCCATACAGAATACTTTTCCAAATAATTTCCAAGAAATATGGTTTCAGCATGATGGAGCTCCTGCTCATTTTGGTGCAGGACCACGTCGTATTTTAAATGAGACTTTTCCGCTACGGTGGATAGGAAGAAGGAACGGAAATGAGGGAGGAGAGGATTGGCCACCTCGGTCACCAGATCTAACTCCTCTTGATTATTATCTATGGGGATATCTGAAGAGTAAGGTTTACAGAACAAAACCTAAAACCATTCACGAATTGATACAGCGAATAAGGGATGAAATGGCTTTGATACCTTTTGAAACGAATCGTAAAGTCATTTCTACATTCTACCAAAGATTAGCATATTGTCAGGAAGTAAATGGCAGCCACTTTCAGCATTTACTTTAACACATTGAAACACATTTGCAATCGTTTGGTGCAACCTAACCTGATCTCTGTATACACGCACCGCACGCACGCACACGCACACATTTCGAACAATTATTATGATAAATGAGCATCCACAAATTTATTTACTGTTTACTATGTCGATTGCTTTCCAGGTCTTTAAATGCTCGATTGTAATTTGGTTGGGTCTTTGCTTTTGCTGACTGGATCCACGACCGATCTTGCCTTAGTTAGCTGGATCACACACACAACAGATGCAAATCCGAGCGAGTAACCTCCATGTAGTACACCTTGGATAATGTTAATACCGGCGCTACTCTATCATTCAACCCTCATAACTCGCAAAGTACTTAATAAAAATGAACATTATTATAGTGTTTTGGAAAGCTCTTGAATTAAGCTATAAGAATATGCAATCAAATGTAGGGGGTGTCATTTAAAAAAGTCAATGTGACCTTGACCTGACCTTGACGACGCCATCCAAGGTCAAACTGATAGAATCAGTATATAGATCTTCTTAAACCCTACAACTTTTGTTCGAAACACTTTTCTGTAAAACGTATATTTTCCGAGATATTTAGGGGTTTCCACACTTTTGGTAGACCCTGTATGTCGCGCGTTATTTATTGACTTTGATTATGCGTATCATAATTGATCTTCCTATTATTATCGATGTAATTATTCGTTGCATTTTCTTGCGAATTTTATCGCTATTTATTTTGTATTTTAATCATTGATTTATATCAAAGCTTGCTCTATCTTTTTTTGCGTTTTGAATATAATTACCTTTGAAATATTATCTTTGATAATTTATCGCAAAATGTGCCAGTAACGCAAATAGTTTCTTCTACAATTGAAGAAACGATCAATAATTTTAAAATTGATCGTTTCTTCTACAACTAAAGAAGCATACTTTGCGTGGAAAATACTTTTGAACTGTGTTTTCATACTATAGTTCTACCTACACGGTGTCAAATCTATATTCTCTTTCTAACTTCTTTTGTTAATAACTTTTTAACGAACAGCGAGCGACGGCTAAAATTTTTTGGATGTTACTCAGAGCAGTGATCTTGACAACATATGTCAAGGACGAGGCAATCGACGCGGGCTCCCTTCATCGGTATATTTTTTTTTACCAACTTTATTTTCCAATTTATAACTCATTTATTTTCAATCTTAACTTTAAACTCATTACTATTATGTAAGTTGTATTTTAATTCTAATTATTTTGATTTACATATCCAATACAGAGGTTTTTATTTCTTGAAATTACATGTGCAATTATTTCAGATATGTAGTAGTTCTGTAAATAAAGCAATAATACATTTTAATATAACACATTTTATCAGTATTTTTGGGTGGGGGAGACATTATAAAAGCGTCAATAAAATCTGAAGACAACAGTTTCATTCGTACAACATATTATACAACATATTATTATTTCGTTATCATTATTCAATATAATGGCATTTGTAAGTATTGTATTAATTATACTGGCATGCATTGCCATAAAATGCTGCATTTTAAATTACCGGTGGGAACAATTTTCTATTAAAATGTTAAATACCATGTCTGGTCCAAAATCATATCCGCTCTTTGGAAATACCTATTATTTTTTTCGGCAGAGTTCTAAAGGTAATAATGAAGAGATCGAAACATTTACCAAAAATTAATCACTACTAATATTGCATTAATTCGAAATAATATGTTGATAAATTATAATCATGCATAAAATATCACATATTATAATATATAAAATTATCACATATTATAAGTCATAAAACATTTTTTAGACTTTTTGGATATTATGATTAAATTGACAAGAGATTATTCGTCTCCATTTAAATTTTGGCTAGGCAACAAATTATTCATTGCAATATATGAAGCAGATCAAATACAGGTAAAAAGAATAACTTTATGTTTTGTTATAAATATAAATATATACAAGATGTCTCAGCCACCGTTTGTTAAAAAAGTCATAAGTAGAGCTCGCTAAACTGAACTAAAAGATCCTGTATCATTTTGCAAACAACTACGTAAAATTTCGAGATATTAATTAAAGAAGATTAACCAATAAGAGTGCGAACCAGGTGGCTAGGTAATTGATCATTCTAGTGCATTAGCGAGGACGGCCCACCGTTTATCCGAAACAGCGACAGCTCGCGACAATGAATATCGGGCGGCAGCGAAAAACGAAGTAAAAGTGATTCTTATAAACTTATAGACATCGTATCTAAAAATCAAATTTATTTTTCAAATTCTTAACATTCTTCTGAATAGTTCTAGAGTTCTATGTAAACATTTTAAATAATTGTGATGATTAAATACAAAAAATCAAATCCAAAAATATAATGCGTTAAAGTTCACGCATTGTAAGTCATGAAAATCAATTATATCTTTAGAATTGTAGTTTATTTTACAATAGTTCTGCAATTCTGCGTCAAATATACCAATATATAATATAATAGTTTTAGCAAATTAAAAGTAAAAAATCGATTTCTGAAAATTCTAACTATAATACGTATACGAAAAGTTGTGATTTTTTGATATGCGGGACGTTGTATATGTACAGAGTGCCAGACCACCCATACATCCCTTTTAAATTGAAAATAAATGGCTTTTATCAACAATCGCTAACAATTTTTAAATAAATCGTATTTTTAAGTAAATACGCTCTATCAAATGATAATATTTTTAGCTTTTGATTCCGACCGGAAATACGCCATCCAAATCGGAAGTTGAATTTTTTTAAGGAAACATGACACTTTCTATTACAGATTCCAATTATACGTGAAAAAGTAAGAAACTTTTGTATCAAAAGTTTCTTACTTTTTCACGTATAATTGAAAAAATAAGGGTAACTTTGATACGCCATAACTCTGCAAAAAAAATTGTACAGATTTCTTTTCTTATTTGTAGGGATAAGTCCATATTTTACTGTAATTAGTGTGAGATTAGTAATGAGATTTGCGATAAAAATGTATTGCACGCCGTAGGGCGTGTCAAACTATGCTACGCATGTCATTATTATATCATTAATTTAAGAGAAAAAATCAAAGAGAAAGAAAGAAAAAGAGATTTTCTAAAGTATACAGCGTGTGTCAAAAGTTCCGGGACGGCTGGATAATTTGAAAAATACGCATCACAGAGGAAAATGACCTAGACAAAAGTTGTAGGATTTTTCCCGGGCAATCCGACGGTGATCTTAGATTTGACCTTGGATAGTTTGAAGGTCACATAAAGATTACCTTCAATTTCTTAAATGGAACCCCCTATTTTTCATTGCATATTCTTGTAGCTTATCTCAAGAGCTTTCCAAAACACTATAATTAAGTACCTTTTTATTAAGTACTTTTTGAGTTATAAGGCTTGAAATAATTTCTTAATTTTACATAAACCATAAAATATCTAGTAAACCATTCATTTTTCGATTATCTTACCTTCATACTTTTATGTACAAAATAATGAGAGGAATCAATTGGTGTAAAGAAAACATACAGTTGTTTTCTTTACACCAATTGATTCCTCTCATTATTTTGTACATAAAAGTATGAAGGTAAGATAATCGAAAAATGAATGGTTTACTAGATATTTTATGGTTTATGTAAAATTAAGAAATTATTTCAAGCCTTATAACTCAAAAAGTACTTAATAAAAAGATACTTAATTATAGTGTTTTGGAAAGCTCTCGAGATAAGCTACAAGAATATGCAATGAAAGATAGGGGGTTCCATTTAAGATTTCAAACTTGCCCCCCCTCACCGCCCAGGGGGAGGGGTGGGGGGGCTGATTTTAACATCATTGTACGTCCCCCTCGAAATGACGAAATTTTGATTCTAACCATTTTTTCGTAGTGTGCTTATTTTTCGAGTTATTTGGCTGCCTAAGTTAAAATGGGTCACCCTGTATATATATATATATATATATATATATATATATATATATATATATATATAAAGCATGTGTGTGTGTATGTGTATATATATATATATATAAAGCATAGTATAAAGTATTTTTTCAATATATTTCCATATGTAATATCGAATACATCTTCAGCGAATCTGTCCGTTTTGAAGGTCTATAACGAAAAATCATTTTTAAAGATCGCTGCTCATTGGGACTTTTGATTACGTAGTCATAAATTAAAAGATATCCAACTTTTAAACAATTTCACTGAGACCACTGTTTCATAAGATTTGTGCGGAGTCCTTTGATTTTTATGTTGCTTTAATATAAGGTTTTCTAAAAATAAATATCTTTATCTATATTTTTTATATAAAAATCTATTGCGTGTAGTTTAAAAACAATTACACTGTAATCAAGAACTTCGCATCCAATGTAACTAATTAACAACACGTTATAAAAATATAAATTTAATTGTTTAAATTGACTAAATTGATAATTAACTTAAATTGACTTAAATTAGATTTAAATTTTTTTATGGAAGCTAATATCTTACCAAATTCATTTCGACAGCATCTTTCAATTTCGCATTCATTCGAAGACTCGCAGCGCAATGAAACATTATGTTCACCTCACTTATAAGATGGTCACTTTGTGACCAGATGTCACTGGTTCTTTAACAGTAAGACCCAAGTTATCCAAACATATGTCACTATTAAACGTTATTACTTTCTTCAAAACTTGAGGCTTTTCAGTTCGTATTTTTTGAAACATCTATATAAAAATATCAGTTCTAATTGCTAATCTCGTGCATATATTACCATTCATTGTTTAAAAACATTTTAGTTTGAATAACCTTAATTAATTTAATCTATTTATATTTAAAGTTTAATAATAAATTTTCGTAATATTTTCATTTGTACCTTTGATTCACATCATATGTCAAATAATAGAATAATGACGTTAAGTTTTTGAAATCTTATAACATTTTGAAGTACTATTAATTTAACAAATTATATAAAACATAATTTATATGTATATAATTAACTATGATAAAAAATTCCAAACGAAAAAGAGAAAGAGAGAGAGAGAGAAAGAAACACATCCCAGTTAGCATATATTCATTCCAAAAATGTTTTACAAATATTTCTTCGAAAAAAACATTTTATAACCGACTCTTGAAAACATTTCTAATTGATTAAAATGTCCACTTGAAAAATGTTAAGAGATATGTTTTTTTCTGTTAAAAAACATTTATAAAACGTTTTAAATACGTTTTTCTCTTTTACTTTTATTTATTTTATTTCTTAAACGTTTTCTTATGGAATTAATAAAATAATGCATTTATACATACTCTTTAAAAGTGAATCAGTATATTATCAGTGAAATTAATGAAAAAATTATCAGTGAACAGTAAATAGAGTCATTGATGCAGCAGTTATAAGTTTCTTATAGCACTGTAAATTAATAATATTTTACTAAAGCTATCAGTAATATTGTTTTAATCAATATTATTAGATTATAATTTATCTTTGCATAAAATTAAAATTAAAATAAAAATAAAATAAAAATAAAATATTAATAAATAAATAAAAATAAAATTAAAATAAAAATTTTATTTGTATTTACATGCATATATTAAACATGCATCTTAAATAGATAATGATTTATTTTACTTAAATATATAATAAACGGATCATTTTTGTTTATTGGCCTGATATTTATTTGTCCGATTTATAAAATCGATTTAATATCCTCTGAAGTTCCTCTATTCAGATTGTATCGGATATCAAATCGAAGTAATACTTTTAATTTTATCTATCTAGCCCTTTGCAAGTTTTATATAATTCTCATGATTAAAATTTAAGTACGATAAAAATTTCATCTTAAAATGACTTCTAAATTAGACTCCTAGGTCAAAGTCAAGGTCACCATCAAGTGCCTTATTTTGAGCCATACAACTTTTGTTCAAAACATTTTTCTCTAAAATGCATTATTTTCGAAATATTTGGCTGTTCCGAAACTTTTGGGACACTCTGTATATACATATGTGTATATACATGTGTGTATGTGCGCGCGCGCATGTGTGTGTTTATATGTATTGTATATAATTATTTTATGTGTGTGTGTGTGTGTGTGTGTGTGTGTGTATGTGTACGTATAATTTGAAATTAATTTAAAATTAATTTTAAAAATTAATTCTTATTTTGTCTATAGAAATGTAAAAAATACGTTTCCTTAATTATAATTTTAAAAATGTTTTTATAAAAACGTTTTTTATTAATGCTTTACGATTAAAAAACATTGAATACGTTTAAGAAACGTATAATAAAACGAACACCTGGGAACAAAATTGTGTGTGTATAATACATTTTATTCTAAAAACAAATTTTATATTATTTTTAAAAGTTATTAAAAAATGTATTTAGAAAAGTTAAAATGTCGCTAAATAGAAAAATTCTTATAAGAGATGTTATTTAGTCATTTTTACTCTTAAAGTATTCTTTATATTATACTATTATATTATATTATTAGCTAATAAGTCAATGAAGTTGATATAGCTTTCTTATTACAAATCTTGAATATAAGAATAAGAATCAATTTATAATTAACAATTTAATATAAAAATTAGTTGTATCAAATAAAAAAATTTAATAAAATCTAAATGGAAAATACAAATGTACAAATGTAATGTGATGTGATTCTTATAAGAATATGTCAGAATATATGAGGTGTGTTCAAAAAAAAAGGTGACTTTTCAAATTTCGCGGGCTACGTACATTCGATTTTGGAATTTTTTTTTTGTTATGTTGGTACACATGTCCCCAACATATGTTGATATTTAGTGCGTTCGAAAATATGTTTGGTTGGTGTTGGGAAAAAAGATAAAGTTGACGGTATTGAAAACTCCCAGTGCTGCGTTTCGTTTCTCCCACTGGGATCACTAGGATTAAAAAAATTTGCTACTTGAGATATTAAAAGAGGTAAATAAGTAGTTAAATATATATTTTATAATAATATGTTTAATAACATCACATATATTATTATTAATACAAACGTGTGTTTTATATTAATAATGCTATAATTATAATAAAGTGACATAATTTATCTAAAATGTGATTTAAATTTAATATTTGTATATCTGGTAACAACATTTTCCAAATAATCTGTTATTTTTGATACTATTTTCCTTTCATCTCTATTGTTATTACCTCTATTTTCGAATAAAATATTTTGTAATTCTTCATTATTATCATCACTATCTGAAGAAGAACTACTCGAAGATTCAAAAATGACGTTTTCGAAAAATATATTGTTCTATAATAATTAGTAAAATATATTGTTCTATAATAATTAGTAAAATATATTGTTCTATAATAATTAGTATAATTGCAACACTTTCATATATTGTACATACGATACAATACAATCTTAATGATCCCAGTGGGAGAAACGAAACGCAGCACTGGGAGTTTTCAATACTGCCAACTTTCTTTTTTCCCAACACCAACCAAACATATTTTCGAACGCACTAATTATCAGCTGTTTTGCATGTTTGGTTTGTTTTTCACAGATATAAGGGTTAGACGTGTTTTGGTGTGCTTGGCAATTTTTTGCTATCGAAAAAAATGGATCAAAAAATCTGTATTAAATTTTGTGTGAAAAATAAAATTAAGTGCTCTGACGTACTTGAAATGTTGACTGCGGCATTTGGCGAGTCTACTCTGAGCAAAAAAATGTTTACAAGTGGTACAAGCTCTTCACAGAAGGTCGAGAAGATGTTAATGACGATGCCCGCCCTGGACGCCCCAGCACGACCGATCAACAACCGATGACAACGTCGAAGCAGTGAAGAAAACTGTTATGGAGAATCGTCATACGGTCAATAAGGAATATTACCTTGAAATTATGCGCCGTTTACGTGAAGCAATACGAAAAAAACGTCCGGCATTGTGGAAGAACCAGTCATGGATATTGCACCACGATAATGCGCCAGCTCACACGTCGTTGCTTGTTCGTGATTTTTTGGCCAAAGTCAACACCGTAACCATGCCTCAGTCACCGTATTCACCGGACTTAGCCCCCTGCGACTTTTTCTTGTTCCCAAAAGACCCATGAAAGGACGGAGATTTGCCACGATTGAGGAGATAAAGACCGCATCGCTGGAAGAGCTCGAGACCATACCAAAAAGCGCATATCAAAAGTGCTTCGAGGATTGGAAAAAGCGCTAGCACAAGTGTATAATATCTAAGGGGGATTACTTTGAAGGGGACAAAATAGATATTAATAAATAAATAAATATTTTTTGAGAAAAATAATAAGTCACCTTTTTTTTTTGAACACACCTCGTATAGCAACATTATCCTGTGAAAAATTATCTTGACATTAAGGATACAATAAAGATAATATAAGGATAATATAATTCACACAATATCTTTCAGATAATTTGAATATATCTTCAAGTCGGTCATCGCAACTGCAACCTTTCTTGGCTCGCGTTAAGATATAGATTTTGTTGAGATCAGAACAGCTGTATAGCAACTTTTCTATAAGGACCTTGCCCATGAAACCAGAAGCACCAGTAATGAAGATGGTCTTGTCTTTGTAGAAAGATTGAATCTTAGATTTTGATTCATTCATAGCTAAAATTTACCGTATACTGTAAAATTTATAATCATGACAGAAAAATAGACAAAAAAAGAGGAAATATACTTTATTACGCGGTAAAACACAGGAAACTATACAAATTCGCTTTGCAGTATAATATTTATAGTGCTTATATTGTTATGAAATTACCCCAGGTAGTGCATATTCGTTTTAAAAACGTTTTATAAATTTTTTCAATTCGTTTTAAAAATGTTTCTTTGAAGCGTTTCATAAAACGTTTCTAATTGGTTAAAATGTCCAATTGAAAAACGATAAGAGATACGTTTCTTTTCTGATAAAAAAAAACGTTTAAAAAACATTTAAAATACGTTTAAAATACGGTTTTTTACATTAAGAGTTTGTTATACGTTCGTTATACGTTTATAATACACTTTTTAACGTTAAACATTTATTTTGTTATGGAATTAATAAAACAATGCATTCATACACACTCTAAATTTTAAAACGAGAAAGAGAGAGAGGGCGAGAGAGAGGAACACATCCCAGTTAGCACATATTCGTTTCAAAAATAATGTTTCTTTGAAATGTTTCATAACCGACTCTTGAAAACTTCTTTCTAATTGGTTAAAATATTCACTTGAAAAGATAAGAGATATGTATCTTTCTGATAAAAAAACGTTTAAAATACGGTTTTTTACGTTAAACGTTAGTTATATGTTCGTTATATGTTTAAAATTTTTTAACGTTAAACCTTTGTTTTCTCATGGAATTAATAAAACAATGCATTCATACACACTCTTTAAAAGTGAATTAATATATTATCAATAAAAACAGTAAATAGAGCACTGATACAGCAGTTACAACCCAGGTAGCACATATTCGTTTCAAAAACGTTTCACAAATGTTTCTTCGAAACGTTTTATAACCGACTCTTGAAAATGTTTCTGATTGGTTAAAATGTCCACTTGAAGAACGTTAAGAGATACGTTTCTTTTCTAACAAAAAAAACGTTTAAAAAATGTTTAAAATACATTTAAAATACATTTTTTCTCTTTTATTCGTAAAACGTTTCGTTTTTATGGAATTAATAAAGAATGCATTCATACACACTCTTTCAAAATGAATAAGAGTACTGAAAACAGTAAACAGAGTTACTGATATACAGTTCATATGCATTTATTATAGCACAGTAAATCAATAATATTTCGGTAATAGAATTAGTAACATTGACTGTTTTATTTAGTAATATTAATCTATCTTTATACTTCGTATAAAATTAAAAATTTTATTTATATTTATATGCATATTAAAACATAAATGTTAAATAGATGATGATTTATTTTACATCCTTAATATATAATGAACAGATCATTTTTCTTTATTCGTCGGACATGTCCGACTTATAATATCGATTTAATATCTGAAATTCTTCTATTGAGATTGTATCAGCAATTAAATCGAAGTGATACTTTTAATTTTATCTGTCGCCTCTTGTAAGCTTTATATAATCCTCATGATTAAAACGTAAGTACGAGAAAAATAGCGCGCCATAGTGGTAAACAAACGAACTAGCGATTACTGATTTTGCGATAAAATTTTACTTCCACTGACTATAATTAATAAGATATAAGATAAAGTAACAAAAAAGGAGCTACTAGAGATCAATGAAATACTGATTCTTACAATTAGTGATCTTATCCATATATTTGTAAATAGAAATTAATATAGTATATTTTCATACTAATTATACAGGGTGTCCGTCGATTTTCGACCTAAATGAAATAAATAAGTAGATTGGCTCGAATTAAGAAGGAATGACCTGCATTGTTTTGGGATTGTCGCAATAATTAACGAAATATTAAATAAAAAATATCGGCCAATCTGCATGAGTAAAAGCGCGCGGCGACGAGAGTCGTCCCACCGTAATCCGATACTACGAGCGCGGCGAAGCGGTGGGCGGGTCGCTCTCCGAGACATGATGGTGGTTTGCGATATACCGCAATACCGCGCCGAAAAATGACCCGTCCCCCCTTTTCGTGGCGAGAAAATGATGCGCTATCATTTCCACACCACTTTGTGGTAGATAGCATGGTGCGCTTTTTTTATAGTGGTTTTCCCCATAGGCCTATTCCACTCTCAATTTAAAAATTATTCAAAATGCTATTTACTATACGCTGAATATATCGTAAATGTAAAAAATTAATGGACAGTACCTTTACAAAAATTGATTCGTGGTTGAAAATCCCTCGATAAAATGTATTGCACGCGTTGATAATGTGATACGATGATAAAATTCTTCAAGAATCCTTTCTTCATCTCGTACACGAAGACGCACTGCTGGACCGGTTATCCCGATATTATGCACGACACTCAGTTTCACATAATTATTGCACAACACGTAAAATTGTACGTCCACTTGGTTTTCGTGCACGCCCGAGAAATGATTCCATGTAAATTGCGGCCGCACGATAAGTATTTTCTCCCGCTAGTCCGTATGCCACAATCATATCCGTATATTCCTGCAGAGTACACTTCATTTTCTCTGTTAATTTACTACGCAAACACAAGATTTTTATTAAAACGTCTTAGCTCTCGCACGCTGTTACCAGACTGCGTACGCCAGCAGCACGCAACTACAGCTGAGCGGACATGCGAGTGTAATCATAGTGCGCAGGCGTCGAACTCACACGTACGCTTACACTCACATGTCCGCTCAGCTGTCAGCTGTAGTTGCGTGCTGCTGGCGTACGCAGTCTGGTAACAGCGTGCGAGAGCTAAGACGTTTTAATAAAAATCTTGTGTTTGCGTAGTAAATTAACAGAGAAAATGAAGTGTACTCTGCAGGAATATACGGATATGATTGTGGCATACGGACTAGCGGGAGAAAATACTTATCGTGCGGCCGCAATTTACATGGAATCATTTCTCGGGCGTGCACGAAAACCAAGTGGACGTACAATTTTACGTGTTGTGCAATAATTATGTGAAACTGAGTGTCGTGCATAATATCGGGATAACCGGTCCAGCAGTGCGTCTTCGTGTACGAGATGAAGAAAGGATTCTTGAAGAATTTTATCATCGTATCACATTATCAACGCGTGCAATACATTTTATCGAGGGATTTTCAACCACGAATCAATTTTTGTAAAGGTACTGTCCATTAATTTTTTACATTTACGATATATTCAGCGTATAGTAAATAGCATTTTGAATAATTTTTAAATTGAGAGTGGAATAGGCCTATGGGGAAAACCACTATAAAAAAAGCGCACCATGCTATCTACCGCAAAGTGGTGTGGAAATGATAGCGCATCATTTTCTCGCCACGAAAAGGGGGGACGGGTCATTTTTCGGCGCGGTATTGCGGTATATCGCAAACCACCATCATGTCTCGGAGAGCGACCCGCCCACCGCTTCGCCGCGCTCGTAGTATCGGATTACGGTGGGACGACTCTTGTCGCCGCGCGCTTTTACTCATGCAGATTGGCCGATCTTTTTTATTTAATATTTCGTTAATTATTGCGACAATCTCAAAACAATGCAGGTCATTCCTTCTTAATTCGAGCCAATCTACTTATTTATTTCATTTAGGTCGAAAATCGACGGACACCCTGTATAATTAGTATGAAAATATACTATATTAATTTCTATTTACAAATATATGGATAAGATCACTAATTGTAAGAATCAGTATTTCATTGATCTCTAGTAGCTTCTTTTTTGTTACTTTATCTTATATCTTATTAATTATAGTCAGTGGAAGTAAAATTTTACCGCAAAATCAGTAATCGCTAGTTCGTTTGTTTACCACTATGGTGCGCTATTTTATATATGTATGTATGTATGTATATGTATATGTATGTACATATGTATATATAGGTTAAAATTAATTTGAAATTAATAAAAATTAGTTTTTATTTTGTCTATAGAAACGTAAAAAATACATTTCCTTAACTATGATATTAAAAGCGTTTCTATAGGAACGTTTCTTATTAATGCTTTACGGTTAAAAAATATTGGATATGTTTAAGAAACGTATATAAAACGATATGTAAAACGTATATAAAACCGTGTGCTACCTGCGTAGCGATTACTGATTTTGCGGTAAAATTTTACTTCTACTGACTATAATTAATAAGATATAAGAAAGTAACTAAAGTAACAAAAAAGTAACAAAAAAGAAGCGTTTCTACTAGAGATCAATGAACTGATTACTGATTCTTACAATTAGTAATCTTATTCATATATTTGTAAATAGAAATTAATATAGTATATTTTCATAATAATTATATATGGTATATATGTATGTATGTATGTATATGTATATGTGTATATACATATAGGTTAAAATTAATTTGAAATTAATAAAAATTAGTTTTTATTTTGTCTATAGAACGTAAAAAATACATTTCTTTAACTATGATTTTAAAAGCGTTTCTATAGAAACGTTTCTTATTAATGCTTTACGGTTAAAAAATATTGGATACGTTTAAGAAACGTATATAAAACGACCGTGTGCTACGTGGGAAGCCAACAAAACACCATTTGCGGGAAGTTTTACTTTTCCTGTTTAATTCAAAGAAAAGTGCTGCTGAAAGTCATCGAGTGCTGTTGGAAACTTACGGTGAACATACTCCATCGATAAAAACATGTGAATATTGATTTCGACGTTTTAGAAGTGGTGATTTCGATACAGTTGACAAAGAATGCTCTGGTCAACCGAAAAAGTTCGAAGATGAGAAATTGGAAGCATTACTCGACCAAGATTCATGTCAAACGCAAGATGAACTTGCTGAATCGTTGAATGTTGATCGTACAACAGTTTCTAAACGTTTAAATGCACTCGGCATGATTCAAAAGCAGGGAAATTGGATGCCATACGAATTAAAGCCGAGAGATGTTGAACGGCGATTTTTCACGTGTGAACAATTGCTTCAACGGCAAAAAAGAAAGGGTTTTTTGCATCGTATCATCACTGGCGATGAAAAATGGATACGCTACGATAATCCTAAGCGTAGAAAATCATGGGGTTTGCCTGGTCATGCAT